GCATAGGGGAAAGCTTGGCAGCAAAACCAAAGATTGCAGTGTCATATGCATAAAGTAGGCGGGGAGGTGGTGTTGCTTCTGAATCAGTGGAGAGTTGGGAAATTGAATCTAGCATTTCTTCAAACATTCCTTTGGAATTAGCAGCAGAAGGATAGGAGGTTTTCATCTTGGACTCGTCCATGTGAACAATGTATGTCCGACTGCCCAGTGAAGCAACTGAAATTGTGGCCATGAATGCCACCAACACCAAGGACGTCATGCCGCATCTGAAGATCTTGTGAACTGCAAAAAAAAAAAAAAAAAAAAAGGTACTGTGTTACTTTCTCGGCAAAATTCGCCGTGGCTATCACCACATAACTTGAATAGTCGGTGTTGGACCCCAAAAAAAAAAAAAAAAAGGAAAAAAGAAAATACTTGAGTATTATGCATATTGATGTATGGAAGGAATAGGAATTACCTGTTTGAGTTTCCATGTTTTTAAGGTGCTAGAAGTAGATGGGAAGGGGTGAGGAGTTAACTGCTTGGTGGCCACCTTTTATAGGGGCAAGCGTGAGTCCGGAGGATTAATGAATTATTAATGGGTCCCAATAAGAATTAGAGGAGGGCGGGACCGACTGGGGATTAATAATAGAATAGAGTTTTTCTTATCTGCGTGCAACACATGGGAAGGATACAATCATTATTTTGTTATGTTATAATTTCCATATTTATTTCAATGTGTTATTTTCTTACGTTATAATTTCCATATCTTCTATCTTACTTAGAAAAAGAAAAATTTAGAGGGGATGAGTTTTTTCTTACTTTACTTTAAATGTAACATTTGGAAACAATATTTTTATTAAAAAAATTTTATACAATTTTTGCTTGATATTAAACAAATAAATAAATATAATATTATAATTAATAATTGAATGGAAAGAGTTAACAATTAAATAATATGTATGTTTATATAAAAATATTGTACAAAAAATATCTTGCAATTATTTTTTATTTAATTTCTTTTATATTTTAATTTAACTAAATAAGGGGATGACTCCCTATTCTTTTTTTAAACTAAACAGGAAGAAAGAGAAAAGTAAAAGTTAACTTCTTGATAAAGTAATTTTTTTTTTAGACATTATAACAATTGCTAGTATAATCTCTAGATGTATTTTACTCTCTACATTTAATTGTATATATCTATTATGAACATAGTTTTTATTGATAT